TAAATGAAATAAAACCTAGTTTGACAAAGCAAAGGTAGCACAGTTGTGGAACAAAAGGATAAAAAATATCATAAAAGCTAACAGAAAGAAAAGACAGAAAGTCTTAGAAGGTAAAAATTATACTTATAGAAGACTCCCCTTTCCCAGCAATACATGCCAAAAGACAATGAAGTAAGGTCTTCAAAGGGCTAAAAAGAAATGACTAATAAAATGTATTTTTTTTTTTTGAGACGGAGTCTCGCTCTGTCGCCCAGGCTGGAGTGCAATGTATTTTTATACCCGACTAAAAATCATTCAAGAGCACTTACATAATAAAGACATTTAAAACCTACAAAACTCCACTGATGCTTGATAAAAGAACTATTCAAAGACATACTTTAGCAAGGAAAAGAAAGTGAGCTTTTGGAGAGGAACGCATAAACAACAAATAAAGCCTATGAGAGAGATGTCAGTGAAACCATGCAGAGAACTTGATGTCTGATTTCGAAAGTTCATAGATGTCTGACTCACATATGAGAAAGCTAAAGTAGCCTGGGATAGCAGTGTAGAGTCTACGTCTGGGAAGCAATGGACTCACCTCCAACCATAGGACAGGGGTGCATGAATCCGAGGGATTAAACAGGGATCTGGAATAGCTACATCAAGGAAGCAAAAATCAAACAGAATTAGTAGGGGAGTCCCCAAAGAGCCTGTAAAAGTGTTCATGAGAGAAATATTTGTCTTTAAATACCTGCCAGGTCCAGAGAGCCCAGAACAATCTTTTAATAGTTCTGGTCAAGAATTTTCTAATCCCCATTTCCTTTCTCCCTCCTCTTGCTTTAACACAGATGGGGAAGGCAAGAGCAATGGATGGATAAAGGAAGAAGAAAAAGAGAGAAGGAACTCATGATGTGTTTCCTTCCCAGATGGCATGTTCTTGTCTGCACCAGACCCTAACTGGGAGAAGAGCAAAAACACAAATATCACATTAAGATGGAAGTTTCACCTTAAAGTAATCATAACATTTTTGTTTGTTTGAGACAGGGTATTACTCTGTCACCCAGGCTGGAGTGAAGTAGTGCAGTCACTGCAGTCTCAACCTCCCAGGCTCAAGCAATCCTCCCACCTCAGCCTCCAGAGTAGCTGGGACTAGAGATGCTCCATCACACCTGGCTAATCTTATTATTTTTTTATTATTATTATTACTTCTTTTTTTAGAAACTGGGTTTCACCATGTAGCCCAGGCTGGTCTCGAATTCCTGGGCTCAAGGGATCTGCCAGCCTTGGCCTCCCAAAGCGCTGGTATCACAGGCATGAGCCATAGCGATTGACCCATAACATTTTATTATCTGTAACCATTGACTACCCAAGTTTTCAACCAGGAATAGGGAAAGGATCACCCTCACTGAGAAAGTTCAGCGAGAGACAAAAATGAAGTTGCTTTTGGCTTTTACCATAACACCCTGGCTCAACAGTAATTTCAAATACTGCTAGTAGTTGCAGCCACAGATCTAAAATAGGCCCGAAGGGCCTGCCGTCACTCCTTCATGTGACAAAGAAAACTGCTCAACCTACACAAGCAGAATATCTCTTTTCCCCTTCATGTCCCAGTTCCCCAAAAAAGGGAGAAAATCTTTCCCTCCCATATCCAATGCCCCTTTTCTACTCCAGCATGATCAATGGTGAGAAAAGAAAACATTTCTTTAAGAGGAAAATTCACTTCCTTCTCCCCACAGGGGCATAATCTGACCCATGACTCAGACAAGAAAATGATGAGTCCAGAGTGAGTGACAATCCAGAGTGAGTTTCCCAAAGCTGTTTAGTCTTAACTAACACTTCATGCAGAACATTCTTAGTTCAATGCAGGTTGAACTTGAAAGTACAGCCAAAGCTTTGTCATGGTCTCTCCTACCATGTGAAGTGGAAACAAACAGACTATAGTCCCTCCTTCCGTGGCCTCGTTTCAGATTTTAACCTGGGTTTTAATCTCCTGTCAATTTAGACATGAAGATACTGACATCCTCTAAGAACAAATAATTGTCAGACATGGAATATTCAAATTCAAGAATAAGAAATAAAAAATAGGTCTACAGGGCATGGTTTTAAAGATGGACCCAAATTATATTCCTAAATACCTATTTGGGATAAGAAAAACCAGTGTTTTTCCTACTTTCACTCTCATTCTCATATCACTTCTGACACCAGATGTATGGGGACGGTTTCCCCCATATAGTAAGCAATTCTCCAAAGAACACCAGCTGGGTGTCCTACAATTTAAGTCAATTCTGACACTACCTACCTGGAGACAGCATCAGATCCCACAGGTTAAGGGCTCAGTCCCACAAGTCTACCCCACTTCAAATGCCAATTGCAAACTCCAGGTTGTGACCTGTGCTTCTAACCAACTGTCTGTAAATCAGAGTTCCCATGATCTCCTCCTCAGGTTTGATTATTTTTCTGGATGACTCACAGAACTCAAGGAAACACTTAACACTTACCAGTTATCATAAAGGATATTACAAGGGATACAGAGAACAGCCAGATGGAAGAGGTGCGCAGAGCAAGGCATATGGGAAGCGGTGCAGACAGAGTCCACGTCCTCAACAGGCATGCTGCGCTCCATGTATTCAACAATCTAAAACCAGTTCTTTGGCATTTTTACAGAAGCCTCATTATGTAGGCATGATTGATTATAATCCCTGGCCATTGGTAATCAATTCAACCTTCCGCCCCTTGCCCCGTCCCCTTCCTGGAGGTTGGTGGGGTAGTCCCAATCATCTAATCACACCGTGGTCTTTCTAGTGACCAGCCCACATCCTGAAGCTATGTAGGGACTGCTAGCCACAGTCATCTCATTAGCATACAAAAGACACTCTTGTTATTACGGATGTTCCAGGGGTTTTAGGAGTTGTGTGCCAGGAACCAAGAACAGAGACCAAATACATCTTTCTTATTATAACACAGTATCACAATACCATTTGATATCTTAATCCAGAGTATCGCCATTCAGGTCATTGTGTAAATAAAGGAATCTATTCAAAAGTTTTTTCAAAACATCTGCCCCAAAGTAAGTTAAAATTTTCACTTCCAGGCCAGGCGTGGTCACTCACGCCTATAATCCCAGCACTTTGGGAGGCTGAGGCGGATGGATCACTTGAGGTCAGGAGTTTGAGACCAGCATGGCCAACAGAGTGAAACCCCATCTCTACTAAAAATACAAAAATTAACCAGGAATGGTGGTGCACGCCTGTAATCCCAGCTACTCAGGAGGCTGAGGCAGGAGAATCACTTGAACCCGGAGGCAGAGCTTGCAGTGAGCTGAGACTGTGCCACTGCACTCCAGCCTGGGCCACAGAGCAAGACTCCATCTCAAAAACAAAACAAACAAACAAAAAAAAACAAAAATTCATTTCCAAAAACAGATATTAGTAGCATTTTTAAAGTGACATTTCACTATCTAAAGAACTAAAACCATTAGTCTCACCAAGTGTCCCATTATATCCATCTTTTCAGCATCTGGAGCATTGACAAGCATGTCTATAGTGGAAACCTTGTCCTTTTGTCACATATACAGAGGACAGTCACATATACAGAGGACACCTGATTCACTGATTAGTGTTATGTGACAGGGTGACAATGAATGTAAATAGACTAAACCATCACATTGTCCTTTCCAAGTCCATTTTATCTTTTAAGGTTTGGCCCAGTGTTTTTTGTTGTTGTTGTTTGTTTGTTTTTAATATACTATGACTTGATTTCAGGAGAAGAAACTTTGAATACATCTCCCAAAATTATTTGATTCTTGTAGGCAGCTAGTTCTGCTCTGCCCCTGGAGTATCAGCTACTGTAGACGGTGCAGGACTATCACAAAATAGGCGGCTCAGGGTGTTCTCATATTATCAAATGGTCCTTGATGCTGTCAAGTTGGGTGGGTATTGTGCCACTGCTTTTCCCTCATCTGAGCGTAGTGCCATTTATAAAAACACTCCGAAATCTCTAATCCCCACAATCACCACTCCTAACTTCTGCCTCCTCAAGCTCAACAGAGGTTTGTGCTCCTACAACTTCTCTTACAAGCGCCATAGCATGGGTCTGTCTTCCTTCCACTCTGTGAACTCGATAGTAGAGCACAGCCTTCATCCCTCAAATTTATTCTTGTTTGTTTGTTTTTTGGAGATAGAGTCTCACTCTGTCACCCATGCTGGAGTGCAGTGGCACCATCACAGTTCACTGCAGCTCACTGGGAGGATCACTTGACCTCCTAGGCTCAAGTGATTCTCCCACCTCAGCTTCCCGAGCGCATGCCACAACACCCAGCTAATTTTTGTATATTTTGTAAAGACATCACAGTTTAGCCATGTTGCCTAGCTGGTCTCAAACTCCTGGCCTCAAATGATTCCCCCACCTTGGCCTTCTGAAGGGTTGGGATTACAGGCATGAGCCGCCATGCCCAGCTGCAAATTATTTTCATCTTCTCCTCAGTTATTTCCATCCATGTTGTGGGGCCAGGGATCGCCTAACTCCAGACAGGCTGTCACTCTTTTCTCCTTTGATTTCGTGGGTAACATCACTTTTTACGCTTGAGGCTGGCTTTGAAATGTTAATATCCTGTTAAGGCTCCAGTCACATTTGTATGAAAAGGGATTTTTAGGGGTAGATCTGGAAATCTATTGCTTATATCATCATTTTCACAAGAATGTGTATTTCAAGTTTAAATATAAGTGAAAGGAGCTAGCTAGGGCTACCAGACATTTTTGCCAAGTCAGCAGACCTGTTAGAAAACCCTAAAGAAGAAACAGAAAGTAAGAAAGAAAAAAACAGAGCTCATAGAGAACCTTCAGGGATCCAGTAACAGACCAGGTTTCTCCAGTGGCTTTTATGTGAACCCCTATCTCCTGCACACACTGCTGTGCCTCTCCTTAGATTAAAGTCCCTTCTTTCTCCATTCCTCTATTGCTCCCTGCCAGGACCTTTGATCCTTTCCAGCTTCCACTGTGAGCTGGATCAATTACAGTGTGTCTCCAGTCATCACTTAGCTTATTTCACTTGACAACTGGACGTTTTCTGCTTGCTCCTCCAGATTTAATCTCCATCCTCCTCCACCCTAATCTGTACTCTGTGAGTCTTTTTTTTAAATTGACACAAATAATTGTATATGTTTATTGTGTAAAAATGATGTGTTTTGAAATACATGGACATTGTGGGATGGCTAAATTGACTCATTAACCTGTGTGTTACCTCACATACTTACCATTTTTTTGTGGTGAGAACACTTAAAATCTATTCTCTTAGCAATACCCGAGAATACATTAACTATAGTCTCCATATCGTACAATAGATTTATTGAACTTTTCTTCCTGATGAACTGAAATTTTGTGTCCTTTGACCAATATCTCCCCAACACTCTTCACCTGCAGCCCCTAACAATCACCATTCTACTGGCTGCTTCTGTGAGTTCAACAGTTTTAGATTCTACATATAAGTGAGAATCCGTGCCTGGCTTATTTCACCTAACATAATGTCCTCCAGGTTCATCCATGCTGTCACAAATAACATGTGACACTTTGTAAGTTAGTTCATGAGATATCCGTATGGTCCATCTAAATATTAATGGAAGGCAAGTGCTCCCCTACTGTTGAACTTCACTTCTGAAGGCAGCTATCAGAAAAACAAAGGAGGAAAATATTATAATGTATCTAACTATGACTTGTGTTATTGAGAAATTAATGTGCATATTGAAGCTCTCAATCTCAACATTGCCAAACGTCATTCAAACACAGGATGTGTTTATGATGGAGCATCTTAAAGCATCCTGGGAAAATTACAGTGATGACTCCCAACTTTCCATTAGCTAAGAATGTAAAGAGTTGCAAATATGTGTCCAATCATAAAGATACTTGAAACGAACGTGTTGAGCTCTAAACAAGAAAAGTAATTTTGGACAAAAAAAATATTATTAAATGCTGAGAGGAGTTCATCTATTTTAAGAACTGAATTTAGGAAAAAGAAGCCCCTCTGCTGTTTGCTGGCTGGATTGGGCTAAGGGCGGACCTGGTTTTTGTAACTCTCCCCACCCTTCTTGGGATGTGTTCAGCCCAGTGGGCAGCCTTGTTCTGGAATATCCAGTTAAGCTGGATTGCTGGGGGGTGGAGCTACAGTTGCACTTTTTCAACTTAAGAACAGGATGCATCAACACAATCCCTGATTTTCCTTAATTTTTCCAGGGCCTTGATCTTCTTTCAGGATCCACAGAAAACTACCACTGGCACATGGGGGAGTTGATGGTGATAAATTCCAAGGGTAAGTGGGAAGAAAAAGTATCAAGATCCACTGGAGAAGTCAGTTATTGTTAGGTCAGGCAACATCAACACAATAGACATTTGTTCCATTGAGAAAAAAGACCTCTGTTGAACTGATGGAGCTGTCAGCATAAGTCATGCTCTTTGGGCATGTCGTAAAAGGACCTGACCTTCAGAGAGTAGGTTGGAGTATCAGGATCCTCATTCCTACCATCAATGGAATGTCATGGCAGAATTTCATTCCCCGTGTGGTTTCCCCAAATGTACACTGATTATTAACTTTTAAATTCGTAGCTTAGGAACTATAGGAGGATCTAGCTCTGAATTGAAAATAATGAAATTCTGGTGGCTAGCCAACCTTCAGCTGTTCCACATTCAACAGGTTTCTATTGGGTATCTACACAGGCAAACACCAGAGGCTCAACAGTTAATAAGACAGTCATGATTCCTGTGCTATGGATCTTGTGATCTAGTTGCTCTCCTGTTAGGAATATCACCAGATCAAGAATCAATCAACTATTCTCAATTGACTGAGCTGGAAGGAACTGCCCAATCCCCTTCATTTATCAATTTAAAAATAACTCTGAAAAGATTATATCTGTGTATATAGCGTTCAAAACTAATTAAAAGAGAGGACTAGAACCCAGGTCTACTGACTCCCAGACCTTCCCTGTTTGTTGATACTCTACCCTCCTTTCTACCCACTCCCAAAAAAAGCCTAATTTCCCATGTAGAGTCCTTATACTGGTAAATGTCTGCTGACACATGCAGGAGTCAATGATTATTGACTCTGGCAAAAAGCAATATGTTTTTTAGTATATTTACCAACTACTAAAACACAGTGGTGACATAAATTTGCTTTTCATGAAACTTTCTCTATTTCTAAAACCAAAGTCCAACAGAAAGCTGGACTCATGGAAAGTATTTAACATAGAATTGTATTTGATGGACAGACTTAAAGGGCAAATATTAAATAACAGCTTTAATCTCTATTCTTTTATATATGTCAAGAAAGCCTCATCAAATTTTACCTTTCATATGCATGAAATATTCCTTTAAATTGACTTATCAGATTACTAAAAGAACTTTTGTACTAGAGATTTTTTAAAATGTGCTAGGCTAAGACAACATTGTGAAATATATTTAGGAGTAGGAAGACAGGCTGAACTTCCCTGTTTTTTTCCTTCTTCTCCCTTCAGGGATCCAATGAACTCAATGCCCTTTAGTCAATGTACCAGTTAGAGCAGTTGAATTCATGAGAAAATCGTCAAGTAGTCAATATTCTAGTTGTCTCAAAAGGATTCCTTTTTTAAAAAAAAGAAGACCCAAGGAAAACACTATCAATAGAAAACACTGAATGCTCATAAGGAATTTAGGCAACACCAGGAAAGTGTGTTTGGGGTGAGGGGAAGGGTGAAGGGGGAGAAGTAGAGAGATGGGAGGGTTGGAGGGAAAGAGAAGTGGAAAGATGGGAGGATGGAGGGAGAGAGAAGTAGAGAGATGGGAGGGGTGGAGAGAGAGAGAAGTGGAGAGATGAGAGGGTGGAGGGAGAGAGAAATGGAGAGATGAAAGGGTAGAGGGAGACAGAAGTGGAGAGATGGAAGAGTGGAGGGAGAGAGAAGTAAGGAGATGGGAGGGTGGAAGGAGAGAGAAGTGGAAAGCTGGGAGGGTAGAGGGAGAGAGAAGTGGAGAGATGAAAGGGTGGAGGGAGAGAGAAGTGGAGAGATGAAAGGGTGGAGGGAGAAAGAAGTGGAGATGGGAGGGTGGAGGGAGACAGAAGTGGAGAGATGAAAGGGTGGAGGGAGAAAGAAATGGAGAGATGGGAGGGTGGAGGGAGAGAGAAGTAAGGAGATAGGGGTGAAGGAAAAGAGAAGTGGGGAAATAGGAAGGTGGAGGGAGAGAGAAGTGAGGAGATGGGAGAGAAGGGAAAAGGAAGTTACTTTCACGTTTTCTCTCAATCCAGTGGAGAAGATGTTGATATCAGTCCTATGTCATGGATGAGGAAACTGAAGTTGACGTTTGTCACTTGCTGAAGGTCACGTGACCAGAAATGCAAAGCCCGATCTGACTCATATTCTCCTAATTATAAATGTTACGTGCTTTCTATTACCCAGGCATGGCTACTCTTTCAGTTGTGTCAGAAATGGCATATCCAATATTGTGTTTGATTCTCACAGCAACCCCAGAAAATGAATGTTACTCTAAATTTCAAAATTATGAAATTGCCTCGAAGAGATTAGGTCATTTTGCATAAGGCCCCACAGTAAAAAGAGAGAGCATTTAGCAAATAAGTGTGGGCAAAGCTCTGCCCTTTTTGTTGTTTCAGTGTTTCCCAAACAATCCTGGGGATTTGAGGTGAAAAAAATGCCGCAGTATTCTTATCCCTTTGAAAAAGGTGATCTTTACATAAAGTTTGATGTGAAATGTCTTGAAAACAACTGGATCAACCCAGACAAACGTTCCCAACTAGAAGGTCCACTGCCATCTAGATCAGAAGTTTCTAACATAATTGGAGAAACAGTGGCGGTAGAGCTTCAGGAATATGGTAACACTTGAGGCTAAGCAGTTGGTCAGAGGCTTGAAGCCTAAATCATAGCTCTGATGAAGAAAGCAGCACTCGTGTTCCCGGAGGGGTGTGCCTGCCCATCCGCAAACACTGCAAATGAATTGCACAGGAGGACTTTGCTTCCATACTTGCGTAATTTGTTCTCAGTGATCCCACTGGTGTGTCCCATCAATCCAGATGAACTGATGGACATCCATTGGTCTCTGCGTAACTTTTAAAATTGGTATAGTATCTACAGCATGTATAATTGAAACTAACCACAAAGCTTCACATCTTCGTTTCAACTGTTCCATAGCAGAATAAAGCACTTGAAAGGAAATAAGACCCTTTTCACATGTAGATTATAAGTTTCGATCCTGGTATCTGTGCTTGATTTTTATCAGTTTTGTGCAGATTTTATGTCTCGTATTTTAAATTCAAATCCCATATTGTAAAGTTTGTACAATTTATCCTGAAGCTTTGTGTTTGGCTGCACCTGAATAAGCTGCTACAAATAGAAGAAAGAATCTCATAGCCTGTATCTATCATTTAGATGTATGGAAACAAATAGGTTTTGCACACAATGAGTTTGGAGCTGAGTAGGAACAATGGAAAAAATGACATTAGCTGTGGTTGTAAAGTTTTTTGTTTGTTTGTTTTTTACTGTCTTGTGAAAGGTTTCTGAAACTCAGTAACAAAAAGCAGTTAGTGTTTTTAAAAAGTTCTGTTCTTAGAAGCCTGAACATTCACTTCAAGAACTTATACATTTTATATTTTTATTTTAAAGATAATACTTAAAAATTAATGGAAGCTTATTTTGAATAGCCAAGTAATGTAACCAAGTTTCAGTGTGGGCTCTTTACTCATGTTTATTTATACTAGTGGTAACAATGTTTCATTTTTAATGTGCTGACAAACATGTTTGATTGCTATTAGGTCGGCACATCCTCATGTCAAAATGACAGCAATGCTCTCACATTTGTACCTAATACCTATTAGGTTTCTTTGTACATTGCACCTAGATACCAGTTCGCCAGCTATCTAGCACTTATGGAAAAGAAAAGTGCTAGACAATCACATGGCATAAAGTCGTAAGGGGAGCTGAATTCAAGCTATTACCCTGGTTAACCATTGCACTAAAAATTAGATAACATGATTGCTCAATATACGAAGTCTCAGCAGTCACAAAAATTCACAAAGATAATTGAAAGTAATGTTTTAAAAAATGACTAAAAAGATTGGGCACAGAGGTTCATGCCTGTAATCCCAACATTCTGGAAGGCCAAGGCAGGAGAATCACTTGAGCCCAGGAGTTTGAGACCAACCTAGGCAATATAGGGAGACCCCTGTCTCTACCAAAAAAACAAAAAAAATAAAAAGTCAGGAAAGTGTAGTGGCTCCTGCCTTTAGTCTTAGCTCCTCAGGAAGCTAAGGCAGGAGGATCACTGGAGCCCAGGAGATTGAGGCTGCAGTGAGCCATGGTCGTGCCACTGTACTCCAGCCTGGGCAACAGAGTGAGACTCTCTCAAAAACAAAAAATTATAAAATTATAACTTCATTAAGTCTTATTGGCTTCATTCTCATGTAATTATTAAATTTTATAAATCAATGGGCAGTGACCAAAAATAGCTATTATTGTGTATTAGAGTATCTTGTCTGTCACACTAGACTTTGGTATTTTTGCCCAAGTATCCTTTTTACCTACAGGTAGAAATACCCTAATGTTTATTTGAGTATCCACCCCTCCTTTATGCAGCCCATGTGGCTAGCAGATACTGTATTGGACAGCATATTAGAACATTCCCATCATTGCAGAAAGTTCTGTTGGATACCAATGATCAAGACCTCAACTGAGATTATGTAATATTTATTAACATATTTTATAAACTTCAAAGCACTTCTTTAAAAAACCCCTCATTATTTATTTATTTACTTACTTATTTATTTTTGAGACAGAGTCTTGCCCTGTCATCCAGACTGAAGTGCAGTGGTAGGATCTGGGCTCACTGCAACCTCTGCCTCCTGGGTTCAAGCAATTCTCCCACCTCAGCCTCCTGAATGACTGGGATTACAGGTACCACCACACCCAGCTAATTTTTTGTATTTTTAATAGAGATGGGATTTTGCCATGTTGGCCAGGTTGGTCTTGAACACCCGACCTCAGGTGATCCGCCTGCCTTGGCCTCCCAAAGTGCTGGGATTACAGGCATGAGCCACCATGCCTGGTCTCCCTCATTATTATGATTATTAATCATTTTAAGTCACAGGAAGGGAGTAATTTTCTACAAATAAATGGAGTCCTGTACAGAGCATGGCTATTTCCAATATAAGCTTTTAACACTTTTAATAAAATGATCATTACTCAATTACTATTTAATCTCTGTCCTTCTTGAAGACTTGTTTAAAATAAAATAGCTTTCTCCTAGAACATTTTACAATTCTTCAGCTCTAGTTACTTTGTGCCTTTCCTGATTGCCCAACTTAAATATTGAAAACTATAAAGATACTTAATTAGGGAACTTTGATTCCAGGAGTTAAATCAGCTTGACTTTGAACTGCCAAATAGATTAGGAATGGTATAGATTTTAACTCTTAAAGTCATAGTTTTCTATCATAGAGCTTTTGACTTTAGAACTATAACAACTCAAATTCCCTGGTTACCTAAACTCATTCTCCAAACTCTATCCATACACAAGAACTGAATTCATTTGGATAGCAAGGAAAAATTGTATAAAGAATAAAGCACGCCTCGAAAGTTTTGTCCTTAGAAGTCTCTCCCGTAGGGCCAAGAAACAATATTGGCCAATGACATTCATTCCATAAGAAAACAGGTATCAGTGCTTTTTTATAAGTCCTTTCTGTGTCTTTCAAACACATATTGAAGGTAGAGAATCAAGTGGTTCTGATGTGTGCAAAGAAGTCATTTATACCAATGGCAATTTAAAATAGCGTATTTAGAAATGCAATTAAAAATAAAGGCCAGGTGTGGTGGCTCATGCCTGTAATACCAACACTTTGGGAGGCCAAGATGGGCAGATCACCTGAGGCCAGGAGTTCGAGACCAGCCTGGCCAACATGGTGAAATCCTGTCTCTACTAAAAATACAAAAATAAGCCCGGCATGGTGGCACACGTCTGTAATCCCAGGCTACTTGGGAGGCTGAGGCATGAGAATCACTTGAAGGCAGAGGTTGCGGTGGGCTGAGACCACACCATTGCACTCCAGCCTAGGCAACAGAGCAAGACTCTGTTTCAAAAATAAATAAATAAATAAAGTTTAAAAAATAAAGACTATGGGCCGGGCACAGTGGCTTAGACCCTCCTGCTTCGGCCTCCCAGGTAGCTAGAACTACCATCCCTGGCTGATGTTGATATTTTGACCACCTCCCATGAATCATGAATGTTCTTTTTTTTTTTTTTTTTTTTTTTGAGACAGGATCTCTCTCTGACACCCTGGCTGGAGTTCAGTAGCATGATCTCAGCTCACTGCAACCTCTACCTCCCAGGTTCATGCAATCCTCCTGCCTCAGCCTCCCTAGTAGCTGGGACTACAGGTGTGCACCACCACACCTGACTAATTTTTGTGTTTTTAGTAGAGATGGGGTTCCACTGTGTTGGCCAGGGTGGTCTCAAACTCCTGACCTTAGGTGATCCACCCACCTTGGCCTCCTAAAGTGCTGGAATTACAGTTGTGAGCCACTGTGCCCAGGCTATCATGAATGTTCTTAACAGCATCTAAAATTGTGAATTATTTCCAGAAGGTTTCCGATTTTACTGTGCCCAGATTCAGCAGAGGAATCACTATCTATGGCAATTATAGGCTTACAAAATGTATTTCTTAAATAATAAGACTTGAAATTTGAATTTACTTCTTCATCCATGGGCTGCAGAAGAGATGTGTTAACAGGCATAAAGACAACATCAATATCTTTGTGGATCTCCATCAGAGCTCTTGGGTGACTAGGTATATTGAAAAAGAAATACTTTTTTCTGAGCAGTAGGTCTTAACGGTGGGCCTAAAATATTCAGTAAATCATGCTGTAAACAGATGTGCTGTCATGCAGGCTTGACTGTTCCATTTATAGAGCACAGGCTGAGTAGATTTAGCATCATTCTTAAGGGCCCTAGGACTTGAGGAATGGCACTTGTGCAGGGCTACACCAGCTTTGTCCCTGGGTCCATCCTCCTAATTGCAGCCTACAGTGCCGGTAGGCATATCACTAGGACTAAGGTTTGCCTAAGGGATGGCTGCTTGAAAGCAAATGGGTAAAACTTAGACATGCCCAATGTCCACTGACGCATGTGACGCCCTTCATATTGTGAAACAACAGAGGAGGGGGCATGGAAAAAAATAAGGGGTGGACTATGGGTAGAGGCTGGAGGTGGGAGTTCAGCTCTCCCCATACTGCCAAATTCTGGAGGAAAACTAGAAGTCTCAAAATTCTAAATTTCAACTTGGCCTTCTAGGTTATTATGAAGGCAAATTTTGCAATGCAGAAGAACAGTACATATTTTATTTAATAGTTTATTATCTGTTTAGACAATGGATATGTGAGCCTCTATATTCCT